GATTGAACAATTTATATGCGTTTTTAAAAATTCAAATCTTGGCGTATGTAGAAAAAAAATTACTTTTTTTTTTTATTATGTAGATGATATGATGATTTATTTGTTTCATATTAATATAATCATATTAAGATGAGAGGTGAAGTTTAATGATTAATAACAAATTAATATGGTAAGTTGGATATCAAATCTTATATGTTCATTTGCATTGGTCATTTAAAAAAAAAAACAGATTTTCGTTTTATAATTTATTTAAATTAATTAAATAACATAAATTAGTATTTTACTTGTTTATCCTTAATAAATTGAATGAAATTTGTTCTAAAAAAAGATTTTTGTAATGGCATTCTTAAGTAAATTCTTACAAAAGAGAAGGTTAGTTAAGGATATCTTATAAAGTGTACTCCCCAAATAATAGTATAGGATGTCTCATACGTAAAAAAATAAAATTTGGGACAAAAATTGTAAAAGAAGTTAAAACATTGATAAAAGAAAGAAAATTGATAAACTGTCCGTCATTTACTAGCCAACTAGATTTTAACCCGTGGTACACTGCGGGATGATTTAATTTTAAAGTTAATATAAAAATATTTTGTAAATTGTATCTTCTTATAACATATTTATTTATATTAGAGTTTACAATTGTTATTAAGTAACGGTATACCACGAGTCCACGAGACAATTATTAATAAACTGAGGATTTAACCCGTAATTAAAGCGGTATATAAATATTGATTCAAATTCGTCCGCCATATAAATCCTTTCAGAACCCGTTCCATAATTTCTTAACCCGTCCCGTGATTTGTTTTTATTTTAAAATTTAATGATTATTTATTATATATAAAAGTTTACAAATCATATTATTCTCTAAGACATTTATATTTTAATAAACTAAAGATTTAATATGTATTAAAGCGGCATGTTAATGATATTTTAAAATTTTATAAATATTGTTATTAAGTAACATTATACCACGGGACAATTTTTGGTTTTATACAATCTTTTCTAAATGAGACTGATTTAATATGTCTAATATTTGTGGTATTAAAAAAAAAGATTTAATCCGTATTGAAGCGGCGGATTAATGATATTTTAATCTTTTTATTATTGTTGATTCAAAAACCCGTCCCGCCAAACCCGTCCGGCCAAAAAACTCATTTATTTTATTAATGTTCTTATTTATGATATGATTCTGAATCATTGTCTAAATATTTTGATCGATGTAGAACGTTGAACACACACTTTCGTCAATTGGATAATATATGTCCGTTTTTTAAATTTCGAATCACAGTATATGCAGAAAAAAATTGATTTTTTTTTTACTTTATGTATTATATGATGATTCGATACAGTTAAAAACAAATCAAACAAAGATGATAGGAGAATCATAATTATAAATCTTAATCAAATCTTCTAAATATCTAAATTATTAAATATGGAATATCCGGTGTATGAGTTGAGTTAAATATAACCCTACCCAACAAATTTTTTGTGAAGGAATTTTAAAAACGGGTCGGGTATCTGATATATCCGGAAGCATTTTTACCCATCCGTCACCAAAGTGTTGCAAAAATACTAGTATAGATGAATTAGATCTGGAAAAAAAAAACATATTTGGACAGTGAAGAAAAGAATTCGATACACTCGTAGAAACGCGAAAGGAAAAAGCAAAAGCCAGAATAGATCACACATTCTCAAAACTCACTTCTTCTTCTTCACTCTCTTATAGAGATCACAGTTCCTTGTCTGGATCTCTGTCGGCAGATTCTTTAGGTTCTGCTCGAAATCTGGGTTTTTAGTGTTTAAAACCGATTCAGAAATCGTGGGTGGAGTTGTAGCGAAAGATGGGGCGTTGGCAGCCGGTGGATCACCGGCGGCGAGGTAGAAGGAGATTGTCGAGTTGGATATGGTTTCTCCTTGGTTCTTTCTCTGTCGCTGGATTAGTTCTCTTCATGGTTCAGCATTATCACCATCAACAAGATCCATCACAGCTTTTATTTGTATGTCTTTCTCTCTTAGTTTCATGGATTTGATTGCTCTGCGCTTGATCATCCCTCATGAAAAATTGTGGATCTTGTTGTGCTTTTTGAATCCACTGGAATTGTAACCTAATGAAATTAGGTTTCCTTATTCGATCGGTCTATGACTATGATGGAATCAGTGAAGTTTCCGAGTTGAAGTATCTTCAATTTGATGATTTTAAGCTCCCAATTGAGTATTGAATGTCTGAACCTCTGTTTTCGAAATCTTCGGAAAGTTTTTGTTCATGAATTACTACTTGTGGCTTGAAGATATTGTGGCTGTTGTAGTTTCTTATTGATATTGTTTGTTGGTTTTGGTTTCAAATATTTTCTTAATGTGAGTGCAAAATGATGACAATGTTAATATGTCGTAGATCAGAGTTCCAGATGGGAAGGATTTGCAGTAGTTAGTTAGTTATATCATAAATTGGTGAAGTTCATGTTGATTTTATTTACTAAAGATAAGACATTGGATGAGTGTTCATAACTTATGGAGGACTTACTCTGATCTTTTCATCTTTGACAGGAGAGAGACACGAGAACCGAAATGGTATCCCCTACCCGTTTAAACTTCACGGAAGAGGTCACAAGTGCTTCCTCATTCTCTAGGCAGTTAGCAGAGCAAATGACACTTGCCAAGGCTTATGTTTTTATAGCTAAAGAGCACAATAATCTTCATTTAGCTTGGGAATTGAGTTCTAAGATCAGAAGTTGTCAGCTTTTGCTCTCGAAAGCTGCAATGAGAGGACAACCTATTTCGTTAGATGAGTCAAAACCGATTATTAGTGGTCTATCAGCTCTTATCTACAAGGCTCAAGATGCACATTACGACATAGCCACCACAATGATGACCATGAAATCTCACATCCAAGCCCTTGAAGAACGTGCAAATGCAGCTACCGTTCAAACCACAATCTTTGGGCAGTTGGTTGCTGAGGCACTACCAAAGAGCATCCACTGTCTGATGATAAAGCTCACATCTGATTGGTTAATAGAGCCATCTCGCCATGAACTAGCAGATGAGAACAGAAACTCACCTAGACTTGTCGACAACAACCTTTACCATTTCTGCATCTTCTCGGACAACGTTATTGCCTCCTCGGTTGTTGTTAATTCAACTGTCTCAAATGCTGATCACCCGAAACAGCTTGTTTTCCACATAGTGACGAATCGAGTGAGCTACAACGCTATGCAGGCCTGGTTTCTGAGTAATGACTTCAAGGGCTCAGCTATAGAGATCAGGAGCATAGAGGAGTTTTCTTGGTTGAATGCTTCGTATTCTCCTGTTGTTAAGCAACTGCTGGACACAGATGCAAGAGCTTACTATTTCGGGGAACAGACAAGTCAAGATACGATTTCCGAGCCAAAAGTGAGGAACCCGAAGTACTTGTCATTACTGAACCATCTCAGATTCTACATTCCCGAGATCTATCCACAGCTAGAGAAGATCATTTTCCTAGACGATGATGTTGTTGTTCAGAAAGATTTGACACCACTCTTCTCCTTGGATCTGCACGGAAACGTCAATGGAGCTGTGGAAACATGTCTTGAAGCCTTTCACCGTTATTACAAGTATCTAAATTTCTCGAACCCACTCATCAGCTCAAAGTTCGACCCACAAGCATGTGGATGGGCTTTTGGTATGAACGTCTTTGATCTGATCGCTTGGAGGAAAGCAAACGTGACTGCTCGGTACCATTACTGGCAAGAACAGAACAGAGAACGAACGCTTTGGAAACTCGGGACACTCCCTCCAGGTCTACTGTCTTTCTATGGTCTCACAGAGCCACTGGATAGAAGATGGCATGTCTTGGGCTTAGGTTACGATGTGAACATCGATAACCGTCTGATAGAAACCGCAGCTGTGATTCACTATAATGGTAACATGAAGCCTTGGCTAAAGCTGGGCATTGGTAGGTATAAACCTTTCTGGTTAAGGTTTTTGAACTCGAGCCATCCTTATTTACAAGATTGTGTCACAGCTTAAAGCAAAAGACTAAAGAGTTGAGACTAATCCATATCACAAGATTCTTGATTTCTTATACACTTTAAAGATTCTTTTTTTTTTGGAATATTGTAGATCTCAGAAAGTTTGTCAAATTCAGATTTCCTTCTGAAGACTGTTTTTTTTTTTTTTTTTTTGGGTCTGAAGAGAAAGTTATAATCACACATTAGAGGGTCCCATAATGTACTTACTAGATCCTGACCCGCACGAATGTGCGGGAGAAATTTTTTTAATGAATGTCTTTACAAAAAATTTGTATTTATATATTATTTTGTTGGTTAGTGAATTATATAATAGTATAGATACCCTAAACTTAGCATAATAATTGTAGAATTATGTTTTGTGTTTTAAAAATAGTTTGGTGCATAAGTTTGTGTTTTCTATTTGATTAGTTTTAAATTTAGAATTGAAAGTTGAGAGTCAGATTTAAGTAATTTGATATGTGTTTTTTTAAAATATATAAATTGGTGCATAACAAATAATTTGAACAGTTAGAGAAGTTATGTGTCTAAAAGTTATTATACAAATGTTAAAAATTGAAAGAATGTAATATTTTAAAATTTATAAATTAAATATTTGGTAATGCAACATAATTGTTTATAAATTACTATTCAGTAATTCTCAAACATTTTTACCGAAATATAATTTACTGGCACAATAATCAAACCGAGATATTTTTTTGTGGGCGGAATATAATGTTAATGTTGACCCAATTATAAAGCCTCCTTCACCCATTTAATATTCGTTTAAATAAATTGATATTTAGTATATTAATGAATTTTAATTTATTTATTTGGACAGATTTATTTTATATTTTAGAACAATCGTTATTGTCCTTGTTGCTTCTTACTGCCTAACACGTGTCTGAGTGAAGATATCTCTTCTTCTTCCTTAACGTATCATCGACTGGACTTTTAATGGGCTGCTTAATTTTGTAAACCCATTATGTACTCTTGTTGATGTATGTTGTCTTATATCAATAAAATTCAGAGAAAAAAAAAAAGAATAATCGTTGTCTCATCTTTAAAAAAAAAAAAAAACCCACCGAACAAACGTAAGAACTTGGCTCGATCGAAGAATCAATTGCGACAGCTATTTCGTCTCCGTTTATACTGTGTTGCAAATCGTGAATTCTTTAAAGAGGTAAAGTTGCTATTGAATCAGATCTATAGTTTTACTGCCTCAATTCCCAATCTGTGAATTTTTATGTTTGAATAGAGATCCTTGTCCAAGGATTGTCAAGAAACCAGATCTTCTACGGGTAACTATTGTCAATTGAATATCCAAATTTTTGTTTTCACTGAATTAAATCAACTAACACGAATTTGATTTCGTGTAGTTTTTCTCGTTAGCTACAGAAGCAAGATGAACATTAAAATTCCAGTTTACCGAGCTTTTTTTTTTTAAACCCATCAATTTTTTACAGTATATTTATGTTAGCTGAAAAGATTTCTACTTAATTTAGCTTCTATATATATTTCAAATATAATGATGTTAATGGAAGAAAGGGATAAACAAAGAAAGAAAAACTGATACGATTATTAGAAAACAATAGCTATTACCAAAAATTTAAACATGGAATGTATTCAGGTCAAGTATAAATTGCGAGTAACCTAAAAATGTGGAGGAGGCTATATCACGTTTTGTCATTGGAGCTATTCAAAAATCTATTGGTTGAAGGTTAGTGTCTTAGTGAGATCATAATTTATACACTTTGTTTATTAGATTTGCATATTTACCTACTATTATTGAGTCTACTTGTGGTTACTTAATATAGAAAACTTTTTTTTTTCTCTAGTATGTTAAAATGAAAGTACTAAGGAGGGGGTATTGGGTGAGAGAATTTAATAGAATAGAATTGAAGACATAAATTATAGATTTTCGAGTATTGTAAAAGATTTTCAAATCTTTTTTTTCAATTCTAACAATTTACCTTACAGTATTTTAATAGAATTTAGAAGTAAAAAGATATTAATGAATTACTAGAATTTTTGTTTCTGGTTTCTATCAGCCACTATGCCCAAACCCTAAAAACTCTGTCTTTCTCTTTCACCCTCCCTGATTATACCCATAAACGACATACGTTGACGTTTACATGAAATGGAAGAGAGATCTCTTATGTAACATCAACGATGACGTCATCACCACCATTCATTTCCTCTCTGTTTCGCTTTCTCTCTCGATTCACACACTCTCCCCTCATATATAATCTAATGGATGATGAATTGATGATCCGACAACGAGAAATTAGCCGGATCGTGAAATCACAGATTATGGATGTGTTAGATGAATACACACTCTCCCTCAGATTTGAGCTTTTGTCGATGATTGAAGCAAATCGATGAAAGAGAAAAAGTAAAGATTATTAGATAAAGGAGGATGGATATGTTAAGATGTTCTATAAATAAGAGATGCAAAGTATTAAAAATTCTGCCATTGTTTGATATGCATTAATCACCTTTACACGAATGAACGATTTTCACTTGGATTCTGCATCTTGTCTTGAAAGGTTTGATGTTAGCAAGATTGGTGATATAAGATTTCATCCATTGTTAGAATTGAGAAACGAAGTAGCAATATTGAAGTAGCAAGATTGGTCTTTTGCAATCATTTTTAAAAAAGAAGTAGCAAAAGGTTAGGGGTCGTTTGAAAGCTTAATGAGTATGGAAAATGGTATTAGACATTCTATATTTATAGGGAAAGGAGGTCGGCTAGGGTTAAACCTATTAGATCAAAAGAATATATTTGCAAATCCATTTTTTAAATAAAGTTTTAAGGTATATACTTGATTTGAGAGGTATAGAATATATAGTTATTGTTATATTTGGAAAATATATTAACTGAATTCGAATAAGATTGAAAACAACCTTCAAATTTGGATATTTTTGAAACGAATTATTGTTACCATTACTATCTATCCTTATTTCGTATTCGAAATTAAAGGGATACGTTTGTTTTGGTAATATCTTTAAATTCGTAAATGTCATTTTTGGTTTCCAATTAATTTTGTTCAGATTGCCAAAATCTCAACCGACCGGATCAAGCAAAGGATCGAGCCCATGATCCGTGTGTCGACCCGCCAAAGAACCCCATGATCCGCGTGTTTATTCGGTTCAGTAGCCCAAGATCCGTGGGTTACTTCCTTTCAAATTATTGTTTTACCCTTTTATGTGTTTTTTTTTACTCTTAGAATGCAAAATTCTTAATGGCATTCTTTGTAATTTTTTACCCTTTATAAGGTTATTTATTATCTAATGCTTTCCAATTAATAGTATAGATGGTCGAATAGATTGATTACTTACAGGGATAATTTATTTTTGGCAAGTTTTTATTTTTATTATTTTTGGCAAGTTGTCTGCGTGTGCATGAATTTTGTCATAAAATAAATATCTCTATTATTTTATTCTTAAAAATATTATTACACCAATGAAATAATAAGAATTATGCTTATAACAAATATCCAACCAATAAAATAGTTAAGTTTTTATTTCTTGGGATATTATTATATTAACGATCAATTAACTTTTTTTTTTTTTTTATTATTATTGCAAATTCATTCCTGTAATTTTTTTTAAAGGAAACTGCATAGCATAGTTACCAAACCAACAAGAGCAAAAAATCACATATAACACGTTTGTGCGTCAAATAATATAGCCTCACCAGTCACCACCAACCTACTTATCTATTCTCTCTCACAACAAACTATATATTATAACAAACAACAAACTTAATTTGGTATCAATAACAAACGAGTATCAATCTCTTAATCACATAGCCAAAAAAATAAACTCTCTATAATGGAAGCAAAAACCATAAACGACGCCGTCGTATCAGAGTCGAATCACGAGTTAGCATTTTCGTCGCCATCAGAATTCGAGAAGAACCAGAAACATTACCAAGAAATCATCGCTAAGCTTCCTCACAAAGATGGCTGGAGACCAAAAGATCCTTTCGTCGAGTACGGTGGTCACTGGTGGCTACAACCTCTCCTTGAAGGTTTACTTCACGCCCAGAACTTCTTCAAGGCACGACCCAATGATTTTTTCGTCTGCAGCTACCCAAAAACCGGCACCACTTGGCTCAAAGCCTTAACTTTCGCAATCGCGAATCGCTCCAAGTTCGACGATTCAACAAACCCTCTTCTCAAACGCAACCCACACGAGTTTGTCCCTTACATCGAAATCGATTTCCCGTTTTTCCCAAGTGTTGATGTTCTTAAAGACCAAGGAAACACGCTTTTCTCGACTCATATCCCTTACGATCTCTTGCCTGAATCAGTTGTGAAGTCCGGTTGCAAGATTGTTTACATATGGAGAGACCCAAAGGACACGTTTGTGTCGATGTGGACTTTTGCTCACAAGGAGAGATCACAACAAGGATCACTCATTTGCCTTGAGGAAGCTTTTGATAAGTACTGTCAAGGTTTATCTGCTTACGGTCCTTATCTTGATCATGTTTTAGGGTATTGGAAAGCTTACGAAGCAAACCCAAATCAGATTTTGTTTCTCAAGTATGAGACTATGAGAGCTGATCCATTGCCATATGTGAAGAGATTAGCTGAGTTTATGGGTTATGGATTCACAAAGGAGGAAGAGGAGGAAAAGGTTGTTGAGAAAGTTGTGAAGCTTTGTAGCTTTGAGACTTTGAAGAATCTTGAAGCTAATAAAGGTGAGAAAGATAGAGAAGATCGTCCTGCTGTTTATGCTAACAGTGCGTATTTCAGGAAAGGGAAAGTTGGGGATTGGCAGAATTATCTGACCCCGGAGATGGTGGCTCGTATTGATGGATTGATGGAAGAGAAGTTTAAAGGAACTGGCTTTCTTACTTCAACAACATGAATGTGATCTTCTTTTGTCTTGTTTTTGAGCTATGACTGTCTAATTCTTATGATCTTTATGCTGGTTTATAGCATAAGTTGCTTTTGTTTATTAGTATAGTTTCCCTTTGAAGTGTTGTATTATTGCTGAGTATATCTATCAATATATGTATGGAATTATTGGTCATAAACTAATGATGTTTTCTTTCACAGATGCAAAGACACATAGAAATAAATATGCAGAATCAGTAAGAGAAAAAACAGAGCAACCTCTGTTTTACACCAAGACCAAAAGGGAAGAAACATATCACTTGTAGTTGTAATTGTTTAAGCAAATTTGGTGTATTTGACGCTGAGTGAGTATAAGAAAATTGTTTAAGCAAAGTTAGTGTCTTTGACATTGAGTGTGTAAAAGAAACATATCACTTGTAAGTTGTAACTGTATAAATCTTTTGAGGTCATCAACTAAATCAACATAAAAAATGGTACAAGAAGAATTTAATGATGATTTTGACAATAACAATCCTCTCCATTATCATTTTTACAACGCTCAATGCCTCAATCTGTAGTTTTTTTGGTATCAATGTTATGATCAAATAGCATGAAAGAGATGTTTTAAAAATATATCACCAACGTTGCTACATTTGTTTGCTTAATCCTTGCGGTGAATAAGTTTCTCTTTCCAAAAGTACTAATTTCGAGTTTTGTCCTTTACGATTTTGCGCTTTAACAGCAAATAGTACTTACAAATACCAAATGGACGAGCCATGTAAAAACAAAACGATAAAACTGGAAACTTATAAAATCATCTTTCCAAAACATGAAGAAAGTTCTTACACAAAAACATCAAAGCTGCTCAATTTTGATATGTGTCGAACAGAGACTATCGAGTAATACCCAGTAGTAGTCCATGACCAGCCTTTAGTTCTTAAAAGCCAAAATTTCCGATCTTCGGTGTATCGCTTACGAAAGCTCTCGCCTTTTCATTTTCGCCAATTGGGCAAATTTACTATTGAAGTTTTTTTTAAAAAATGAAGGCGATTTTCAACCGTAGAGTCGTCGTCGACTCATCTTCGCGTCTCACCAAGCTGCTCACGAACCCAACTACTCATTCTCACCCGAATCGTCAAACTTTCATTTCGCTCTATAAACCGAACCAGAGCCGCCATTTTCGAACACACTATCTTCCTTCAACCCCGTCGTCTCCTCCCGTGAGCCGGTTTGACCCTTCTCAGCTATGGCGATCAGAGACAATTCGTGGGTTTTTCGCAACCGCTTTAGGGAACAAAGCCGTGAAATTGGGAAATCTAGTGGAATCAAGAGTTGGGTTCATTGGTTCTCAGTTTCCCAAAAAGGGTTTCGAATTCGAGAGGTTTTCTGGGTTTCAAAGGCGTGGCTGGTATGTTAGTGTCCCTCATCGTCCCAAATTTTCTTACAACCTTATTGAGATTTGATTTGGGTTTCACTTGTGTCTTTTTTACCTTTTGACAGGAAGCATTGGCTTCAAGGATTATCAGATCGTGACGTCGTTCTTGGATTAGTTATAGCTAACACTGGTGTGTTTATGATGTGGCGTGTTTTCAATCAACAGTTCATGATGAAGAATTTCATGGTTAGACCTCAAAGCTTACAACTTTATAGACATTTCGTTCCAGTACATGCTTGTTTATGGAGAATTAGGCTCTAGATGTCTTTTATATGTAATGCTGGTGATAACATAGTTGATAATGACTTTGTTGATTCATATTTTGGGCAGATATCGTTGGATAATTTCACGAGTGGGCGTCTACACACTCTGATAACTTCAGCATTCAGTCATATTGATATTGGACATATCGTCTCAAACATGATTGGACTATACTTTTTTGGAACCAGTGTAACACTTCTTTTCTCTTATGATTTGTATTTGTTGAGTGAAGCACTGCCTGTCACTGCTAGTTTTTTGAAAAGTTTTGATAGAGATAGTGAATTGTTTTCTTTAATCGCTTACTTCTTTATTTTTCGGATTCCTTCTTTTGCTAGATCGCTAGAAACTTTGGCCCTCAGTTCCTTTTGAAGCTGTACCTTGCTGGAGCGCTTGGTGGCTCTGTTTTCTACTTGATTCACCATGCTTATATGGCTACAACATCGCCCAAGGTATAGAGCAACCAGCATTAAAACATGTGCATTGTGCAGTTAGTTTCCGTTATCTTAGTTCATGCTAGATCCTCAGATAAGTTAGTTTTGCATTTGAACTATGATGTTGTGTGGGAAGACTTTTCCTTTTTATATTGGGTGGCTAATCATATGCGGTGGACAGGGCCAAGGAGCTTTCATGAGGGATCCATCGAGAACCCCGGGACTGGTATGTTTGAATTTACTAGTTTAATTAAGAGAGCAGTGGCATGCAATCTTTGATTTGGTTATCTGACAACGAAATTATGATTATTGTTAACTCTTGACCCCCTTCATTCATTCTATTTCAACATGTATTTGCCATAAAGATCCATTGTTATGTATTTATTGGCCGCAAGTGAGAATGATTTGAAGAACTCTTTTCTGTTGTATAAAAGGGCGCGAGTGGAGCCGTGAACGCCATCATGCTGCTCGATATCTTCCTGCATCCAACAGCTACTCTATACTTAGAATTCATCATTCCAGTTCCCGCAATGTTGCTTGTAAGTTTTAAGCTCTCTGTCTCAATCATTCAGGCTTAAAAATCTCTTCTTAAGTCAACTAAAACTCACTCTTCTTTATCTTTCAGGGTATCTTCCTCATAGGAAAAGACATTTTAAGGATAACAGAGGTAACCTAATATGACATTGCAAAAATTCAAAGTATGTTTGGAACTATCTGATGATATTTTTTCTTTATAAACGACAAACAATCTGGACATTGCAGGGGAACAGTAACATATCAGGTTCAGCTCATTTGGGAGGAGCTGCAGTTGCAGCCATCGCCTGGGCTCGGATTAGGAAAGGCCGCTTCCGCTTTTGACTTGACCTTGCTTGGTTTTGGTCATCTTTAGAGAAATCTTTCTTTAAATGATTTAAGTAACTTTGAGTCTTTGAACCATTAACAAGATTTGGTCTCTGCTTGGATATTTCATATTTCTGTTTTAAGTTAAAGATATTTAACTATTTAAAAAAATCTTGAGGACAAGAAATTGAATTATATATATATATTTTTTTTTCTCAACGAATTATATTGCTTGACTTATGTAAATAAACGAAAATATAATGTTAAATATTCAAATTAAATGTTCCGATAACATAAAAAAATCCTGATTAAAATATGGATTATTGAAATAGAATTGTTTAGTGCTCATAACACGAAAAGAAAGAAATAAAAGTACTAAGACCTTTGTTGATCAAAAAAAGAAATACTAAGACCTCAAATAAAGACGGTTCCGTATTAAAAATACTAAGACCCCAAATAAAAACTATTCCGTAAAAAAATTATTAAGACTTCAAATAAGATCGTTCCATATAGTACGTAACGAATATAATAATAACATAAAATATTTGTTTATATATGTTTTCGCAGTTATCCATAAGTTTTCATTCCGAACCTAATTATCTTTTGTAGATTTTAAAATGTTTTATTTTAATGATTTTTTTTATAGTTTATGATTCCAAACTTAATTATGTTTTTTAATGGTTTATTTTCCGAACCTAATTATCTTTTAAAATCTACAGTAGATTTTAAGTAGATTATTTTATGGTTTAAGTGGATTCAAGCACAATTAATTGTTAAAAAAACAAAAGAAGATCCTTGTAACGTAAATCCGTAAGTCTCGGGGCCCATTTCACTATTTTAAGGGACTTATAACCAACCAGTAAATACTCGACACGTCATAAAAGTGCCACGTAATAAAGTAAAGTGTTTTTTTTTTTTCTTTTTGTTTTCTCTTCGCCAGTTTTTTTTTTTTTTTGGTAAGTTCTTCGCCAGGTTTTTTGTTTGTTCTCTTCTTTAATTTATTTTTCCGGTAACCGAAAAAAAAAAACCTAAGCAAAAAAAGGAAGCAGCTTTATCATCTGTAATCGCCCATAAGATATAATTTGGATTTCGGATTTTCTTTCTTCCTCATTCCTCCTCCTCAAAAAGACCCATTTCATTTTCCCGCACTTTCTCACCTAAACGGAAGGAATCATTCTCGCCCGGAAAATGAGGTGGGAAAGGGTCCGACAACAACAGCAACAAGTGGGTCTCGGTGACTCTTCCTCCGGGCCCGGTAAGAGGTGGGGACACACTTGTAACGCCATTAAAGGAGGTAGCTTTCTCTATGTTTTCGGTGGCTATGGCAGAGATAATTGCCAAACCAATCAAGTCCATGTTTTCGACGCTGGTTAGTTCTCTCCTTCCACATCGTCTCTGTTATCAAAAAATGGCGGATTTGGGTTGATTGCCATTTCGGATTTCGTTTCTTTCTCTGTCTCGATTCTAGACAATCATCTCTTTGTTTAATCTTGCATGTGTGCTTTAGGATAAGAAATTACACTCTGATTTGTTTTTTGTTTGTCAGATTTTGGTATGAGAAATATCCCCATTTCTCTATATCCAATTTTGTATTTAAAGCTTTGTCCTTTAATTCATTTACATTCATCATACTTGAATGATTTCGGTTTGACTCTTTTGATGAAGCTTTTTGTATTGGTATGGACTTGAGTTGGTCTGTTATGGTTTACACTTGCTCTCACTGTGGTGATCCTTGTTGCAGCAAAGCAGATATGGACTCAGCCAATGATCAATGGCACACCTCCTCCTCCAAGGGACAGTCACAGCTGTACAACAGTCGGTGACAATCTTTTTGTGTTTGGTGGTACTGATGGAGTTAACCCTCTCAAGGATTTGTATATTTTAGATACTTGTAAGCTTTCTCTTTGTATATTTTAAGTTTTGAATTGTCCCTATTTGAAGAAGTCATTCTCACTTTGTTTGTTTGTTTTTATTTGTGGTTATAGCTTCACATACTTGGAAATGTCCGAGTGTTAGGGGAGAGGGACCTGAGGCAAGAGAAGGTCATACCGCCACGCTGGTTGGTAAAAGGCTGTTTGTCTTTGGTGGCTGTGGGAAATCTTCTGATATTAATGACGAAATCTATTATAATGACGTTTACATATTTAATACAGGTACTGTTTACTCATGACTTTCTTCGAATTGGCACGTTTCCATATTATCATCTCTTTTTCATTGATAATGATAAGGGACCTTAGATAGATTCTAAGTTAAAAACAAGTGCAAACCATATCCTTTCTTGCCTTAGTGTTGAGGTTTTTAAATACTTTTTGTACTAATTTTCAAGGATGCAAGTAAGTTAATCGGCTTTACGCTTGTGTAGAGACTTTTGTGTGGAAACGGGCTGTTACAATTGGAAATCCTCCATCTGCGCGGGATAGCCACTCTTGCTCATCGTGGAAGAACAAACTTGTTGTTATAGGTGGCGAAGATGGACATGACTACTATCTGTCCGATGTTCATATCCTTGATACAGGTGAAAAAGCATCTTCAATTCATGTTCTTTTAACCTTACGAGTGTATGTCTTTTATCTGAAGGTTAATGTAGGTCTTTTTTTAACTTTCAGATACACTCATATGGAAAGAGCTGAATACTTCAGGGCAGTTGTTGACACCTCGAGCTGGTCATGTTACTGTTTCACTTGGGAGGAACATTTTTGTGTTTGGAGGGTTTACGGATGCTCAGAATCTTTACGATGATCTCTATGTGCTTGATGTCGGTATGTAACTGAAATATCATTTAATAGCAATATAGAATACTTGTGACTTATGAGGTAGATATGCTTTGGTCCTTTCTTACTATAAAGGTAAGAGGACCTGCCCTATCCAAACAAAATCTGCTCTGTTAAAGGTTTTAAGATGAACAATTGTATCAAATTTCATGAGAAGGAAACCTGTAAAAGGCTTTCTAAAGTGTATTAGTGTTATATTGGTTTCTTTGTCTTAATTGTTCTTTTGAGATCGATAATTACACATTCACATTGCTTTTTTTTGTTTCTTTGTTGCTCGTACCTGTAGATACGTGCGTATGGTCAAAGGTTCTCACCATGGGAGAAGGACCATCTGCTAGGTTCTCTTCTGCAGGGGCTTGTCTAGATCCTCACAAAGCTGGTTTTCTTGTCGTTGTTGGTGGCTGCAATAAGAATCTCGAGGCATTGGATGACATGTTCTACTTGCACACAGGTTACGGCAAACCCCTTTAACTCACTAATTGCCAAATCTAATTCTTAGGTGGTAATTCATAGGGACAGACATCTGGACAGCACTTTTCTCACTCTAATCATTTTTATTTCTGGTTAATAGGTCTTGGATACGATGCAAGATTTGATCAAAATGTAGGGAGGTTGTCTCTAAAGAAGCAATTGAAGATAAAATGCCAAGAACAAAGTCATGCAAGTTCCTTGTACGATAAATCACTTGTCAGAATCAATATGGATCATCAAGGTGTGTTTACGCAGACTCTGCGCTAGTCAATATTATATTGAAACCTACAAAGGTAGCATTTTTTCTGTAGCAGAAACTCACTAGTTTGTGTATGCTTGATTTTATTGTAGGAAGAGGAAATTTTGGTTTGAACACTGGCCAATTTAATGAAGGAAAGATGATGTTTCAAGCCCGGATAACCGAGAGTTACCCTGTTGGTTACACTATGGAAACAATGATAGACGGAAAAGTGCTTCGTGGTGTTTTGTTCTCAAACAAGCGCAGCTCCGTTCTGGCGACCGATCAAAGCTTTAGTAGGTGAGTGGTTAAATTAATCTTCTTCTTTCCCTGATATTCAGTTGGGTGCACCTTTTTGTCCACACCTGTATTTGTTCTACAGAAAGAGGCCAGCTATGTCGAACGGGGATCAGGATAACAGATCAAAGATATCAA